GCCCCTCCCTCCCGTCCGGACGGTCCTACATCAAACCTAGGCGATCTCGAAGTGCATCCCGCAACAAGTCCCCGTCGACGTTTGTGCTCCGTCGCCGCCCGCCCGCGCCGTTCTCCACGATGCCCAAGTCCACTCTACGTCGAACGCCGTTCGCATCCACCTCCCACAAAAGGTTCTCCTTGAAGTCGATCCCCGCGTCGAGGAGGATGTTGTGGAGAGTGCACACGGCCACGAATTGTTGCGGCAAGGTCTTCAGGTTCGTCTTGTGGGTGCGCAAGCACTTCAGTCGCCCGAATGCCCTCTCCACACATCCCCGCGCCACCTTCTACCACGTGTCGAAGCGCTCCTCGTCAGGACCTTGGTCGATTCCTCCGTACGGCTGCACGATCCATGGATAGGCAACAAGATAACCGTTGTCGCCCAGCAGGTAACCTCGCGTGACGACACCGTGCGGCAGATTCTCCGAAGGTGCGTCGAACAGCTCGCCAGTTTCTGCACGCCTCCACAGCTGGGAATTGTGCAAGACACGGACGTCGTGCACACTTCCCGGGTATCCGACGTGCACGTCGAGGATCCGCAGATCCAAATCCACCACCACCTGCGCCTGCACGGAGAACTTCTGTTTTCGGTCATAATAGTTGGTCGACGGTGCGCCGGCGGGCTTGTCAATGTAGATGTGTGTACAGTCGATTGCGCCGAAGCAATTTGGGAAACCCTTCTCACGGAAAGCGCGCAGAATCTGCGCACGTCTACGGCCCACTGGCCACTTTATCGCGTCGGGGTACGCCTGCAGCAGCGCCGAAGTGACGTTGCGGACGGCCTGCAGTCTAGTTGCCCTGCCGATGCCGAATGCTGACGTGCCGCTCTCGTACGTCTCTCCGGACGCCCACCTGTACAACGTGAAAGCGATCACCTGCTCCACTGGCAATGGCATCCTGTAGTGCGTGACCTTCTTCTCCACGTAGTGGCGCACGCGGCTACGATCTGGGTGAACATGGCCATCGACATGCGCAACTTTTGTCGGTAGTACTCGTCCGTCGCGTCATCACACAGGCGGAGGTCCTCCCATGTTCCGCCAGTCCGTCGTCTAATCCACCAACGCGGGGTCTGCCGCGAGAAAACGCCAGTCGACAGCGCGGCACACAACTGGACGACTGCCTCACACGTGGCCACGCAATCCGGGGCTTCGGCAACGCTTTGCAACAGCGCTCTTCGTTTGCGGAGCTGCATCACCATGTCGCGTGAGGACGACGACATGTTGCTCATCGTGTTGAGGACGACGGCAGTCACCGCCATCGCCACCGCGTCGATCTCTTCTTCGTGTAGACCGTGCCCACAGCCGCGAACGTCCATCTGTGACAATCGTTCCGCGTCTACAGCGTGACGCCTGCCACAGCCGCCGAAGACACGCCCGCTGATCAACCCTGCCGCAGGAGACCACGCACGTCGGAGCCGAAGATGCGCCCGCTGGTGTACGTTGCCACAGAAGATGACACACGTCGGAGCCGAACACGCGCCCGCTGCTCTACGCTCCCACAGGACAGTACGCACGCCGGAGGTGAAGATGCGCCTTGCAGGAAGATGCGCCCGCTGCTCACAACTTGCGTAGACTCGAAAGATGGACACCCACGCCGAACGGTTCGCCTGGCTGTCCTCCGCCGCCCCCACCCTGCTTCCGCAAAAATTCGAATTTGAATTTTCGAAGTTCTGGGTCACCGCGCTTTTCACCGACCCGTCCTCACCCGCCCAAGGGCCACCGCAGTGCGTACCACGGACACCAGCCAGGAATGGACGGACATCGGCGGCGCGGCTGCGCATACGCATATGAAAAACGGCCGCGGGAGTCAGTAGCCAAGCTACTAGTGGTGGGTGCTCGTATCACTATCACTAGTAGCTAGGGCCTGTTTTAAAAAAAAAAAAAAAAAAAAAAAA